AACAATTCTTGTACAAGGTTATAATAATCACCTTGTGTCTTTCTACTCGTAAAAATGTCTCTTATCCAGAACTTTCTCGGTTTTCTTTGTGTTTGTCTTTGCATAAGCAACCTTCTTCGATTTCTACGGCTTAACAGTGGCAAAAATCCAATTTCGACTTCGTTATCCGCCATCTTTGATTCCCGAGAAGTGAACTGCGCCTGCGCAATAGCCATCCTTATGCTCATGCTTATGTAACCCCGGTTCACACATATTTTTTTTATGCTTATGTTTATGCCCATGCTTATGTCAAAGTGTGAACCAGCCCTTAGCGGTAAGACCAATTTTCGGTCGAGAGACTAGCTTCTCATTAAATAGTGAATGCATCCCATCGAAAATTTGATGGTTATTTAATTCTTGTGCTGTGAAAAACTGATTAAACTAATCCGAAGCAGGCTGTTGACGGTTATTTATAAAAGTAGTGAAAAATAAGGAAACTCTTCTCTCAATCAACATCTCATACTCATAGAAGTTCAGATAGAAAGGAAGCACCGGTCAGGCAGGATCTCACACAAATAACTTGCTTAACTTTCAAAATAACGTCTGCAAGGCAGCGCAACTTTCGCCTCCATAGACAGTGTTGACAGAATTAAGTTGAGGACCCTCCCTCTGTGCGGATTTCATTTGTATACATAGGCACGTGACCAGCCGTAACCAGGGTACTTTCTCGAGGTAGAGAGAGGACCCTGGAAACGAGGTTGGTGACTGTGTTGTTTTCGAGTATCTGTCGGCGACCGACTCATCACTGCCAATGTGACGTCACATTGCAACAAGTCAAGGCTTCGCTTGGCTTGCTCAGTTTAGCGTCGGGACGCCACTGAATTGAAACAAAAAAGAGGGTAATACAAGCTATTATTCCACATTCACTAATTTGGCGCAAGTGTGCAAGCTTTGTTGTGGATATTGTCTGTGAGTAGGACTGTTTATTGTTTTGTGTGCGTTTTTGTTCCAAATTTTATTGAAAACAAATCGGGTCAAGTGGGTTGACCGCCATCTTGACTTCGGGTCAAGTAAAGGCCACCCAAAACGCCCGCTGTTTTTTCTTCAAGTTTTTAACAGGACCTCATAATAGGAGGTTTTGTTCCTTTTTAATATACCTTTGTAGCCATTTTTAGTTCTTCTCAATGTGATGAGCCATTTTGTTCATCAATCCTTTTGAGTGCGAGGGTGTCGTTTTGATTTCCCGCGAGTTAAAGTGGTACTATGATCAAATTTTTACCCATCGATTTTTTAGGTGTATCACATAGAATTCCATGAAAGAAAAAAGACGCCGTTTACCGTTTGCAAACATCTGCATTAGTTCCGGAGATATTTAAGTTTAAAAAATGCGTGAAATATGCAAATGAGATGACTGATGACGTCATACACTCAACCCGTTTTTTATCAAGTCTATGAATAGAGCTATCTCAGTCAATTTGCAGCACAGACCATTGAAACTTGGTAGGCTAATAGTTCTACGGCAGCACACCTACTACTATAAAAATTCTGTTCCCATGGCAACTGACTCTTTTCCAGTCCCTGCCCACTTGATTTCAATATGTGAGTAATTTTCAGCTCGAAGAACATTAAATGAGGCCACGAACTCGAGCTAACATATTTATTTGCTTGCTGAATCATGCATACGAGGCACCATTAGCAAATATCAAAATGGAACAGCAAAGGTGGCCACAAAAGCCTTTATTGTGACGTTTATATGAAATAATTCATATATGAACTGCGGTTGTAGATGAAAGTGAAGAATGATCATCGCAGTAAATTTTCCAATTTAAGCAATTGGAAA